CAGCGGAAACCTCAATCATACCTATGAACTCAAAATCATCCTTTAAAATTTGATGAGATTGACAGTGTGTTTCCAGCAGAACCACCGTTGAAGGCCTATTGTAGACTAGTAAAGATCTAAAATTTCTTTGGAACTCGACTGATTGAGCACCTCAACAATTCCAAATTATGAAGTTCATATGACTTTAGTATGGATTCATTTTGACTACTGGACTCTCCTGGACGAAGCTTCAAAGTTGGGAGGAATAACATTGCATACTTCTTCACCGCTGGATTTGTTGTTGGCCTTAAGCGAAATGATGTTGCAAGTAGATTTGGGGGCACCTTATGAAGATTTTTCTTTCATACTTCTCCTTCTGGACAAAGACCTTGATTCCTTCCAAACATGCATGGACTGGACGTGTTTTTCTATTGTAGACGATTGTTGTGTCTAGTTCTACCTGAAAATGCACTTATTGATCGAGTGGATTGGGATGTTGTGGTGATGGAGGGGTGGTTGTGGTATTGGAGAGGGGGGTGTTACTGGTTCCAAGAGTGGTGTGAGTGGTTGTGGATCCCAGTAAGGTTAAATCCAAGGGGTGTTTGGAGTGGAAGTAGGATAAAACTGCATTTGTAGTAGATTTGGATGAAGGTATGTTGGATCCCAAAATGGTGTTGGTAGAGGGAGAGGATGGTAGGGTGCAAGATGAGGTGCTTGCATCATGGACTAATGGTAACGAGCATAAAGGTCTGTTCCCAATTGCATTCCTTCCGCCATTATTTGTGCTAAGTCCCTCGGATGGTTGATTAGTATTGTCACCTCTTGATGATTTACCTCCATGGTGAATGTTAATTCATGGTTATGAAGTCCCGCCTCTAGCCAAGATGATAGGAGTGTTGGTGCATGTGGGGTTTGAGCCGTGTATATGATTGTATTGGGCTCCATTATCAGGTGTGGTGGAGGGTGGGAGAATGGATTTGGATTGTGTTGAAGATGCTGGGTGTTCTGTCATGTTTGGGTTTGTGGTCTTCGTAAATGACTGATGAAGTTGAAGGGAAACATCTTCTAAAATGAGAGGATGTGGTAGTGGATTAGTCAAAATGTTATGAGCTAGATTTGATTGTATACGTATAGGCGGAACTATATCAATGGTAGTGGTGGATGGTTGAAAAGATTGATTTTTAGATGGTGTATTGGAATGGTTTTGAGAAGTGGAGGACTCATCATTACCTATTTGCATGGCAACAGTAGGTGTAATTGATGGTGGTATTCCGATATTCGAAGGAGGAGGTGGATGATTTGCTAGGTTAAGTAGGTGATTTTTGTGTGTAGGTGAAGATGGTGTGTTTGGGTATTGGGGCATGTCTTGCATGTGGGGTGGGATTTCGTGTCCATTTGCATGGATAGTAATAGGGTTTGGTATTGTATGATGGATAGGATTTAGTTTTGGAGGATTTTCTGATTGGACCGAGTGGTTTGGTACTTGAGTGGTGTTATGTAATTGGTTCTTTGTCGTTTTATTTGATAATGGATTACCATTATCAGACTCATTATCAAAAAAATTAGCAAATTTATTATTAATTAAAATAGGAGCATGGGATGTGGTTAGCTTAGAGCTAGTAGTGTTAATATGATTTATAGTTAGATTAGTGAATGGAAGAGTATTAGGTATAATTACCCCAGATTTACCTGATTGACTTGCGGAATGTGTCCCCACTGCATGTGGTGAATGCAAATGATTTCCTGTGTAAGTATTTCTTTTGAGGGTTGATTTTTTCGGAAATTGAACAAGTTTTCATGCTTCAGTAACTGTTGTAGATGTATTTGAATTGGAAGTATTTGTATTTAGTAGGTGTTCCTTGTTTAAGGTTTCTGCATGAGGATCAACTGGTAAAAAATTTGATTATGACCCATTTGACCACACTTAATACAAAGAAAGTTTAATCTTTCATAAAGGATAATTTGTCTATGATTGCCAATGTATAGGTGTGTCTTTAATGGCTGGTCCAAGGGTACTTCCACGCATAACCTAGCATATTGTCCTCTTGTTGTTGAAGAGGTGCAAGTGTCTACTGTTAACAACTTACCAATTTTTTGACCTAGTTTTTGAAGAATTTGGTAATCATAGAATTATGTAGGTAATTCCGGTAATCGTAGCCAAATAGCAGAGGTAGTTAATTTTGTCTCAGTAGCCATAAATTTAGGCTCCCATTGACGAACTGATAGAAAATAATTTAGAACAAACCAAAGACCACCCTGTAAAGAATGATTTTTATTTTCCTCCTTTTGAAATTTAAGTAGGAAAAAAATCTGACCCTAAGTCAATTAGAGGGAGGTTTCCAGTTAGTTTCCATAACGCATATATTTTTTGTCTAAGTATTCGATGTCCAATTTTGCGACCAAAAACCTTAACAATCACTACATGTTGCCATGGTTGGTAAATCCTATTTTTTTTCTTCCAAAGATAATGGTATAAAAATGGAAGGATCATTTGATGCCTCAACCTTATCAGTAAGCTCCAAATTAAAGTTTATTGGTTCTGGAGAGATAGGTAGTGGGGAAGAAATATTATTATACTTTAAATTTGTAGGTAGGACTTGTGTAGGGGAGATGAATTGGAAATTGGTTCGTGCATGTAAATATTCATATTACTTGGCATGTTGATATTGTGATTGGGTAAAGAACTAGGTGGTGATGATGTCGGAAAGGAGTTTAGTAGACTATCTGGGGGTTTTGGAGGTATTGAAGTGAAGGATTCGTATTGTTGAGAGGCTTTCATAGTTTTCAGATCTATTTTTGGGATACTACCTTCACTCCATATTAATAAGTCTTTAAATTGTTTGCAAATTTCTTAATAATAATATTTAATATCCTTAATTATAAGGATATTTTTCTCTTAATCGTTTACTCGATTAATGTTCAAACAAATTGGATCAGTAAGATTGTAAGTGTAGATTGGTAAAAATTGCACGAGGCGCCTTATTTGGTCGCTCACATTTAATTTATACCCATTTTTTTTAAAACTTTTAACTTGTACCCACTTTTTAAACAACTTCAGCTCCCTTTCTCCTCCTCCTTCTCCTTCTTCATTTTCTTTTTTCTTCTTCTACAACGATGACTTCAACATTACTCTCTTTGATTAATGAAGCTAAAGCAAATATACTGAGGACTTCCATTTGGATTATTATAACATTAAAAATCAGTTTCCTCATTGTCTGGAAACACAACTCCGCCTTCCATTGCTGGAAATTTACTTGATACCGTGAATGTTTCTGCTCCATCCTTTAACAGTAAGTTTCAAATTCATTTTTTCCCATGCACATGGAGTTTGTTCTTCTTTTTCTTTTATCTTTTCTTTAGGATGTCATATATTCAGAAAAAAAATAATATCTTCTGCAAAAAACTTAAAAAATAAATAATTTTACTGGCTTGTTCAGACGTCCCAGATTCGACGTTGTCTGCCTTGGCATCATGGTTTTGCGGATTGATCAATCGAAATGCATCAATTACCACCTTCCTTTTAACATTCTGAATTGGATCCAATTACATAAAATTTGGGTGAGTTATCAAAAACTAGAACATCTTGATAGTGGGATTCTCCAATTATAAAGACAAAAACTTCAGCTTTAGAGCTGAAGTTTTCCAGTTACAACACAAAAACTTCAGCTCTAGAGCTGAAGTTTCCCAGTTACAACACAAAAACTTCAGCTCTAGAGCTGAACTTCAGGTCCGGCTACTAGAATGCTGAAGTTTTGCGTGATTGCATTTGCTACTTCAGCCCCGTGTGCTGAAGTTATGCGAAAAAACGGGTACGCTTGCAATTTTTTTTGCAAAGCAGGCACAAGTTAAAATGTGACACAAAAAACGGGTATAGATACAAATGTCCCGTAGATTTGAAGAACGTAATAAATGACACTTATTTTAAAAAAATAAGATATTTGAAAGTAAATAAAATCTGAAAAATACACTAATATTTCATACAGGAGGGAACAACGGTGGATTATAAAAAAGAGAATCAACTTGACTTTGTTGCCATTTTTACGAGTTTTTGGTTAATATTGTCCCTTATCTTTGAGAGTAGGTCTATTTTGGTCACTAAAATATAATCCTGAGCATATTTAGTCCATTAAGTATGCTAAAGTAGAGCACCTTTAGTCTCATTGACATAGTGTATTAAAAAACTAACGGTATTACCCAACTCTGATTCGTGAAACGAATCTTTTGCTCTGAAGCAAAACGTTTTCTCTCCTTTTATTGGATAACGTAAATCGTCACTTTAATTCCTCAGTTTTAGAAAATGTCTTCTAAAATTTTGACCTTGAAAATATCTCCTTCTGTGCCAGTTTTCAATGAGAAAATAACATTGTATAGTCGTTTTAAAAAAATATCCATATATATATACACACACACATACACACACATTTTTTGTATGTTAATATACAAAAATCATACAAATTTTAAATACTTTTTCCTCTATCAGATGTAAATAATTTTTGACATGGGTTAAAAGTGATAATACAACCCGGTTATTCGTTTGCTTCAATAATATGCTTAGAAATGATCCTAGCAGCTATGTTTTTTTTTCAAATTTTAACTTTTCTTTTGGGAAAAATCGACTAAAATTTTAAAAATGTATATATATATNGTAAAAGGAGAGGAAGTGTTTTGCTTCTGGGCAGAAGATTTGATTCATGAATCAGAGTTGGGTAACACCGTTAGTTTTTTAATATATTGTGCCAGTGGACTAAAGGTGCTCCACTTTTGCATACTTAAGGAATTAAATATGCTTAAAATTATATTTTGAGGGACCAAAATAGACCTACGCAAAGACAAGGAACAATATTGGTCAAAATAGAAACTCTATAAATAGCCTTAATTTCTACCGACTAGCCTTAACACTCTATAAATAGAAACTTCCTCGCATCTCCAACCATAACTCCTCATTCTTTAGTTTTTCATCTTCTTTCTTCTTCCCTTCAGCAGTTCTTCTCCAAGTCCAACATATAAAAAATAAAAACACCATGATTGAATCTGTAGCTAGCTGGTTCACTCCCGCAGTTCTCTTCTGCTTTCTGAACCTCATGATTGGAACTATTTTCATCACTTCAAGTCGCAAAACTGATACTAAGAAACAACACCAACAAAGTACAGAAAACTCAATACCCCAACTCACTCGAAGTCCATCTTTGTTACAACGAGTCAGGTCCTTTAACTTCTCTTTCCCTGACCCATTTTCCTCCGTCACTCATGACTTTTCCGTTAACTCACCACAACTCGACCGTAGTCCATCTTTATTACAACGGGTCCGCTCCATCAACTTGTCTTTCTCCCGGTTGGAAAAGCCCGGTCCAATTCCTTCTGTGGCCCAACACGCCGACCCATATGAAGAAGAAGTTCAAAAGGTTGATAATATTGAACCGCAGATTGAGAGTCACGTGACAAGGACTAAGTCTGCCACGTGCGTTGAAACGCCGGTTAAGATTCCGACGAGGACGATGATGAAGTCGGCAAGTGAGAAGATGGCGGTGGCGGAGAAGGAGGAAGAGGCGGACCAGGTGGATTGGCGGCGACCGGCGACGACGAGGGAAACAGCGTCGTTTGGAGAAGACGAAGCAGTTGATGAAAAAGCTGATGATTTTATTAACATGTTTAGGCAGCAGTTGAAGTTACAGAGGCTTGATTCTATTATTAGGTACAAGGAAATGTTGAACAGAGGAGTTGGGAAGTGAGAGAGGTGTACTTTTGGGACACAAATACCCTTGAATATTTTGGTCTCTTTAACTTTTTCTCTATATTTCTGCTCAAGATTCATTTGAGATGGTGGAAATTGTAGTAGAGAAAGTGTGAAGCTCGAAATATTGATATAGAACTACACGGATGTTTATGACAATTATTATTTTACATATATTATTCGTTAATCCTGGATTATTGTTCTTACGTATAATCTCTTTACCAATAATTGTTTTAATTCTTGGCGACTTAAAATGAATAAAATTGTTGAGACCCTTGAAGTTTATGCTTAATTTTCTTCCAAAGATTTTTATTGAAACCCATGTGGATTGTACAGATTTTGTTGTGTGGTGGAAAAGAGAGGTTGTTAATTATTGCTTTGTTTGGATTCGCGAGAAGGATTTCAGAAAAGGAAAAAACAGTTTCATTGAGGTCGATGTTTTATGAGAAACTTTTAGAAACCACTATGTTTTAGCGGTTATTAGCTAGTTGTAGCTATTATTTATTATATTATTTTTTATAGCTATGTTTTCAGGGTTTTTAGAGTGTATTCGATGTATTTAAGTTAGTGTATTCATGAATACAATAACATTTCTAGGTGTGAAATAGAGGATTACAGCTAGACAGATTTTTGTATTCGACTGTATTCGATTGTATTCATGGCGTAAAACAGGGATTATAGCTAGACAGATTTATTGTATTTGACTGTATTCACGATATGTATTTGTGAATACAGTAACGTAAATAGCACAATTCATTGTCTATTCATCTGTTTTTAAACGGAAAGTGAATCAATTAATATAATAGACTCTTAATATAACTCAACAAACTCAATTATAACACACAAAATTTGTATTTCCAGTTATAAAAAAGATTCTCAACCGAAAAACACCCCAAAAACATAACAATCTTCAGAAAAAATATGCTGAATATTTTTCCCAACCGATAAATACAACAAAAACGGAGCAATTTGAATACATATATACATCTGAATACATAAATTATATTAATAAAAATATATATGAATACATTCATGGGATACAACGAGACAGTGAATACAATGAAATACATGGAATACAGCGAGAGACCTTGAAATACAATGAAAAAAAAGACAATGAATACAATGAAATACATGAAAATACAGCGAGATACATTGAAATATGTTAACAAAAAATTCAAGTTGCTCAGCCCCAAACTCCGTCATCTTTGTTCAGGAACAATCCTAATGTCGTCTCAGCGAATGGAAATAACAATTCCCTCGGAATAGAAACCTCAATTTTCACTTTCTTCTTATCTACCACATCGTCCTCACCACCAACGATTTTCCTAAGCAACACATCCCTTTTCTCTCCTCTTTTTCCTTTCTTTCTTGTACCAATACAACAATGGCAGAGCTAGAAATCACTCAAAATCAAAGCCTGATGGCAAAACTAATAGATTACTTATCTTCTTTACTCCAAAGTATGGCTGAAGCTAACGATATTAATGGCAGATTTCAACCCCAAAAGATCTCAGTTTTTTCATGGCCTCACAAGGCCAAATATCTCAATTCAGAATTATTTAGAGAAGATTTTCAAGTATACAAATTGTAGCCCTTCTTGTTTTGTCGAAACTGTACAAACATTAATATAAAAAAATATCTTTGAGATGCTCTGTAAAAGTAAGATGAAGGTGGAAGATGAGAGAGAGAGAGGGAGAATAGATATGGGGTAGGGGATACGAGAAATTTGAGGGGATAAGAGAAATTTGAGTATAGAGAGAAAAATAATATAAACTTATTTTATGGCTTAAGGGTAGGAGGCGACCATAAATAGATATTTGGCTATAAAAAATCAAAAGGTAGCTATAAAATATAATTTTTTTAAAAGATATTTATTTAAAATAAATAAGATATCATCCTTTGCTACAGGAGGTAACTTATCCATGTTTTATTTCCTAATAGGACAACTCTTTGGTTTGCTCTTTGGTGAGGGCCGGTACGTGTTCTTCTCTAAACAAAATGAAAGTACTTGTAAAAGTAGAATCCTAATCTACACCGATATAGGAGCATCGAGAGTTCATCACTAAAATTGGTCCCTTAATTATTCAAAATTATTTAATAAAGCCATATTTTTTAGTTATAACAAAAAAATCATTTAATCATGTCTATAGCAATAAGAATATCATTCAACCATAATTTCAAATTTTTAGTGATCAAATACTTATTTTACCCTCTAAACTATCAATCTTTATCTTCTTCTTTTTTTAAATTTTTTTTATATTATAATATTATAATATTCTTTTCCTCTTTTTAATCTATAATGAACTTACCTATAAAAGAAATAAATTTTATTTATAAAGTGAAAATAATTTTTAAGCATACATAAGGTCAGAATAATAAAATAATTGAGCAAACTAAGAAATTTAATTAAAATAATTCGTTTGTATCAATAATTTTTATAAATAAATTTTATTTATAAAGTGAAAATAATTTTTAAGCATACATAAGGTCGGAATAATAAAATAATTGAGCAAGCACTCCAGGCAGGTACTTGTTGAAGAAACTGGGGAATCCAGTGATCCGGCATAGTTTTCGCGAAGGCAACAAAGTGGCACACTTGTTGTGTAAATGGGGTTCCAAGCATCACCTAAGCTCTACAACTACTATTTTACACTCACCTCCGGACGCAACAAAGAAGGCAATCCAAGATGACAAAAATAAAGTTTTAACTACTAGACTAGTATCAAGCTCTATATGTAATATACTAGCAGTACTTGGGAACTTTAGCATTATCCCTGCTATTACTAACAGCATTATCCCTGCTATTACTAACAGCGATGTAATGCCTCCCTAACCTTTTATGAATGAATCTATCCCTATTTCCAAAAAAAAAAAACAGCAAAAGCTCAAAATTTATTTACAAAAGTGAGAATTAATGAAACCAAAGCTTTTAAAATATATATTTCATGCATGCAAGAAAATAATTATTTAAAACATAGGTCTATTTTATAACATATATTATATATGCTTAATTTTTTTTATTCCAATATTATAAATGCTTGAAAATAATTTTTGTCTTTTACTTTATAAATAAGATTTATTTCTTCTATATGTAAGGTCATAATATAGATTAAAAAGAGAAAATAATATCATAACATTAAAAAAGTGATAAATAATAAAACTTGATGATTTAGCAGGTATAATAGGTATTTGGCTGCCGAAAAGTTTACGAAATCTCGTTGAGTGACCTTCTGAATGTTTATGCATAATTAAGTGACTTTTCTGTTACCAAAAAAACGTGACTGTATTATTTAATTTCGTATAGTTGAATGACTGATTAAGTACTGGACTAGGAGTATCAATTAGAACTATGCAATGTGGGGTCTTTAATGCTTAATATTTCCACGGAATGAGTTTCATATAAAACAATAAAATACAATTTATGCAGGTGATAAAACAAATGCAAGTTATGTACGTAGGTGCAAAAATAGTACTACAAATTATGAAATTATGTGTGACACATCTTTCTGAACAAATATTGTAATGAAGAATTAATCTAAATAGTCGCTCATCAAATCACTTAAATTAAATATAACTGGTGGATATATAATAATACATGTATAATTTATATAAATTTATATATAATTACTATATAATTTATGCATATCGATTAAAAAAAGTAAACAGTACGTCTGACCGACTATTTGGACAAAGATGTCATAGAAATTGAACTATGTACTACACCGATATAATTTAGGACATTGGAATGTAGTATTGGCCTCTAAGGCTGAGCACATTCACAATGGCACAATCATACAAAATTTAACAAGATTAGGAATGATTAACTCTGACATAGAGTGCAAGTACATTAATAAATAAGGTGATTAAATTAAGAAACAGTCGCCTAAGACTATTAACCATGTTCAGACTTCTAAATGTAACTGCTGGTATTCGGGATAATATGATGATTAAAACTTCTGAAAAGGATCATGAGTTAGAGAAAAAATTAAATGGAGAGAAGTTATCTCCAAAGACCTATAAATTTTTATTTATTTTAGAAACTGAAAATTTGACAAAGAAGGAGACGCAACATTGTGTACATAGATCGAGTTGGTTCGGATTTTTCAATTATCAAACCAAACCAATGATGTCGGAATTTTAAATTATAAACCAAACCAAACCAACAAAGTCGGATTTTTCGGATTTTTTCACGGTAAAATCTTCATAGCATAAAATATGTAACTTGTGCTCCAAATATGTCTTAAGTCCTAGTAGTAAACTATATAATGTATTTTTCAAGAAACTAACACAATAATATGAGATAAGTCATATCATTATAATAAAATAATCAATAATAAATATAAAATAATAAAATTACATAAAACAAATATTGCTAATTAATAAGCCAGAATGAAAATTAACATAATCTAAAAATACTATATAGATCATGCTAAAATAAGTATAGCTAATAAGTACTAGTATTAATTATATAACTAAGTACTAAAGAAAAAGACAAAATAAATTGTGCATTTTTATTATAAACTAATGTAAAACTAAAATAATTATCCAACACTATCGTTATTCCTAGTATTGAATTGAATTTATTTTGTTAGCATTAATATTGATTTGACTTTGCTTGAGTTACTACATTTACGGGCTTTAAAATTTATTTACCATTCAAGAATGTTGAGTCTAAACTTGAAATAATATGTTAAAAGATAAAGCTATGAAAAAGTTCAAGAAATACTTATAAGCTACATTACAATAAATATTTATATGTATAAAATATTTTTAAAAATTATGTAAAAGTGCTATCAGGTTGGTTTGGTTTCGGTTTGACTTTCTTTAGTTAAAACCAAACCAAACCAATTATGGCCGGATTTTATTTTCCAATACCAAACCAAACCACATCGATTTTTTTTTTTTCCGATTTGATTCGGATTATCAATTTGATGCGGTTTATCAGTTTTCTTTGTACACCCCTGCGCAACAGAAATAGATACTCCATATGCATTACCA